GTAGTACTCTTTCAGTAGTGGCATGGATGTAAACATAACAGTGGGAGGAAACTTTCCAAAAATATATGACATGATTCTTAAAACGACCAATGTTTGAGTGCTTACCAAATGCCCAACATTGCTATATAGGTACTGATCTTACCTTCACAATCACCATGAAAGGTAAACATTATGCTGTTCCTATCTTACGAATAAGGGAACAGAGACTCTGAGAGTTGAAGCAAATTGTCCAAGGTCAGTCAGCTAATGGGTGGTAGAACTGGAATTTGAACCCTTGCAGTCAGACTCTAGAGTTCACATTTTTAAGAGCTATATTATCCAAGCAAAGACTTTAGGAGGTGGTGTGAAAAAAAGGGTCAGTGTGTTGAAGTATTAGTGGACAAATTGTGAAATGATTAAAGAAGTTGGCCAAAGGGATAGCACCCTAATGTGTGTGCTTTCCTTTCTGCCTGCTTCTGCCAGCTAGTGAAGGCAGGGGAGAGTGCCAAAAGAAGTGGCACAGCCTAACCTATCCTTGCTGGTTTTTTGTTTGTTTGTTTGTTTGTTTTTAGTTGTAGTTAACACAATACATTTATTTATTTATTTATTTATTTATATGTGGTGTTGAGGATCAAACCCAGGGTGTTGCATGTGCGAGGCGAGCATTCTACCGCTAAGCCACAACCCCAGCTCCTATCCTTGCTGGTTTTAAACATTACCTTTAACAATAATGCTTGAAGAAAGTGAATGAAGTAGCTTACACAGGATCATCACCAGAGCAAACTTTGAAGCCAAGATTCACCTACTTCCTCTGACCTCATCCTCCAACTGCAAATCCAATGCTTTGGGAAGGGTTTTCTTCCCAATTCAAGGACAATAGTGGCGGTAATCGTGTCAAAAATTGAGGCTAGAGATCCGTGGCATTATATGGGTTCTGTCTTAATTATAAACAAGGATAGATTTGCTACAGGAATAAGCTGCCAATTCCAGAGCATTGTGCAACAATTTATCTTTCTCTAGAATTGAATCATTTTGCCACATTGTGTTCTATACAAGGATACTGTTTCCAGTTTAGAAGCAATGCTCATGTGTTGAAGTGTTTGGCTATCTGTTGCTAGATCTGCAAGAACACTCGAAACAGTCCATTTCCATGTCATCTGATTAGAATTAAGGATGTCAGTCAGTCTGTATCCCATCCTGTTCCCTCCACGGCTTATCCCTAAAGGCTCAGGATAAGTTCCATTTCCTCCTTACACTGCCAGACTGTCATGATTTTACCTTTCAGTCAACTGTTACAGCCACTTAGACACCTTCTCCTCTGACTACAAACACGTGCAGTTCTCTAAGCTTAAAAAAAAAAAAAATCCTGGGCTCTAATAACCCCTTAGGTGGATAGACTAATTTCTTTCACAATCACATTTCTTTGAAAAGGAAGCTGCACTTTACCAAGTTGGCTTCATCCCTTAACCTCTTATGATCTGGCTTCCTCTTCTACTGCCTGTGTTTCTTTCTCTTCTTTCTTTCTTTTTCTTGTTGTTTCTTGTTTTGTTTTCTGTTTTTTGATTCTTCCCTCCACACACACAGGGCACCGGTGAGCTTCTGGCAGCATCTTCAACCCTTGTGCAATACATGAGACATTGTTATTTCTCTTCCGTCTTGAAACCCTCTCATCCTGTGATTTCTGTGAAACTGTACTACATTTGTTCTTACTTGACTAATTCTTTTTAGTCTCCTTTCTAGCATTTTTTTCCTCCTCAGATTCCTCACAAATAGGAATCTTCAAAAATTCCTTCTTAGCTCAAAGATTCTCACCATGGCTTGAGACAGGTTTTAATGACATGATACAGTTTACTCTTTTTGAAGAAAGAGAGAAGCACACTCTTGGTGGCTACACAGATGATAGGGCCAAAAGAGTAAAAGTGGAGATCAGATGGATGTTGAAGAAAATTCAGTGGTGACATCATAGTACCCAGACTAGGATAGTGGCTGTGCAGAGTGAGGAAAGTGGGTGTATTTAAGGCATACCTTATAAGTAGAACTGAAAAATTGCTGACAGACTGGATCTACAGGTGAAGGAAAAGGAAGGAACACAAATAACTCCTGTATTTCCTGCTTAGGCAATTGGATAGAGGTTGGTATTTTTATTGAGTCATGCAAAATAGGAAAGGGGTGGAGAGGACTAGAATGGGGAAATCAGGGGTCTGGTTTTGAAAATGTTAAATTTTATATTTATAACTATTATGCATCCCAGTGAAGGAAGCAATATTCTCTTGGTATGTCAGATACTCTTATTAATTCCTCTATCTCCTATTTATGTGAAAAAATATATGTGTGTGTGTCACTGCAACTGTTTGACCCATTGATTTGTGAAACTCAAAACTTTTTTTTTAATGTGTTGTGGCTATAGTGTATATATTAGACAATATTGGTGGCTAATATGCAGCTTTGTCATATTTTTATATATTTATTTTTTAGTTGTAGTTGAACACAATATCTTTATTTTGATGTGGTGCTGAGGATCGAGCCCAGGGCCTCGCACGTGCTAGGCGAGCGCTCTACCGCTGAGCCACAATCCCAGTCCCATCAAAACTTTTTAATAATTATAAAATCACACTCATGTCTGTTCTGCTTGGTGTTTTGTTTTGATATATATGTGTGTGTGTGTGTGTGTGTGTGTGTGTGTGTGTGTCTTGTTTTTGGTTTTTTTTTACATATTTTTGTATGTGCTAGGGATAGAACCCAGGGTGTCATTTATGCTAAGCATATGCTCTTTCACTGAGCTACAGCCCCAGCCCTAAGCTCTTTCATTTATTGGTACTATTAGACTTCTCTTCACTCAGACTCTAATTTTCCAGTGACTGTCTTTTAATCTTCCTCCCTCTCACCAATATCCAAGTAATAAGGAAGTCCTATTGAACCTACCTTGTGCATTATCTCTCCCTGTTTCTGTTGCTGCCCCTCCCAGTTTAAATCATTATCACTTCTTATCAGGAAAGTTGGGACACTCACTCCTCTAGTCTTTCAATGACTAATCTGCCCTATGCACTTCTGTAGAAATTTTTTTTAAGATTTCTATCTAAGGGGTTGGGTGTGTAGCTCGTTAGTAGAGCCATTTGCCTGGCATGCACAAAGCCCTGGATTTGATTCCAGCATTGAAAAAAAAAAAAAAATTCTGTCTAAATTGCTCCCCATTTCCAACAGAATGAAGTTTGTATTCTTTAGCCCTTCATGATTTGGCCACTTAATTAAATTCACATTTTTCCTTTGTATTTTTGTGTATGTTGGTCATTTCTAGTCAGCATGCTCTCCTCTGGCTCCTGTCTTCACTGAGCAAAGTCTTCTAAGACCTCTAAAACCTTCTCAAATTCCACTGAGTAAGAATCCCACTTGTCATTTAGTGAATGCCAATTATTAAGTACTTATTGCTTATTTATTAAGGTAAACATCCTACATTCATTATCTGATCATATGGCATATGGTTTCTTGGACATTGTCTCATCTTTTCTATAAGAATGCAGATTTATTGAGAGTGGAAAGCAGATTGTAATTCATCTTTGAATCCACAGCTGCACTGTACAATTAATTGCTGTGGGACACATATTTGATGAATGAATGATTACAAACTTTGAAATAGTTGCTATAGGAAGATATAAAAGAGGCATAAGAGCTTACATTCTAGTTAGAGGGTAATACATCTCTCTCTCTCTCTCTCTCTCTCTCTCTCTCTCTCTCTCACACACACACACACACACACACACACACACACACACATTTTCCAGAGTACTAAATGTTGAGGGGATACAAAATGGGAGAGTTGAACAAAGTTATATGTAACACAAAGTTATCCCAGAGGAATCAAGTTTATATAGTATAAGGAATGTTCAAAGTTTCAGTGTAAGGTAATTCTGGTTTTGAATTCCTGGTTTTCCGCTCATTAAGTGTGACTTTGAACAGTGATTTTTCTCTCTTCAAATTGAATCTGTAAAGTGGGCATATTACAACCTCCTTTATAGGACCGTTTCAAGGATAAAAGGCGATAATATTTCCACAAAGTACATATCACAATGTTCTATAAACGTTTAAAGAGTAAAGAGCAAGCTAGATTTTTTAACATTGCTGTATTCTTATACCTCTAATTAATTAATTAATTAGAGGTATAATGCTAGGTTCTACCCACTGAGCTACAACTGTAGCCCCTCAATCTAGACTTTTAAAGAAGGTATGGATATTGGATGGTCTCTGGGGTATTAGTAGGTCATTTCACTAAGAATTGGAGGCCTGAGCATTGGCCACCTTGTATCAGATCATGAGGACATTCAGGAACCAGAAAATGCCAATGGCAATTCTAACACTGCCTCAGCATATCTAACTGAACCCACACACCAAATCTAAAATATTTCCCTAACCTTTATTTAACTATAGAAGTCAAAGGAGGCAGGGAAAAAAAGGTGCAATTTCCAAGCACCACTGAAAGCATCTTCGTGCATCCTTCCTATCACATGAATGTTCAAGGAGTACATTTGACATTATTGCTTGATTGGAATCTACTAAGCAATTTCCACAGTACCAGCTAGTCTCTTGGGAAAGTGCTAACAGATTTGCCAGGATAAATTATTGAAACTGTTAATCTTACATGGACAATTATGAAAAGCAATGAAACTAAAATTGCTTCACAGAATTTACTATGTAAACTTTTCAGACCATTTATACCATTAATCCCCCACCCAAAAGCCCATCTTTAGAATAGGTGGTTGATGGTGGGCTCTAGGTGGTCACACTCTATCTATCTTTAGATATATTTACACAGCTCTATTTTCAGATTGAAACGACTCATAAAGAGTTGAGGCTGCATTTTTTTTTAAGCGCTAAAACTCAAATACGCGGCTCTTTTAAGGATTAGCCCCAGCTCTTCCGCTGCTCAACCCCCTGAAAACTACACCTCCCAGCATGCTCTGAAACGAGTCTGACCTCATCTCAAATGGTTCCGTAGGGCAACAAGGGTGGTTAGTTTTGACAGTACTTATTTGTGCCATAAAAAAAACAATCGATCCTATTTAACAATTATTTGGGCTTTTATATCTACCAAACATCCTTTTTTGAGCTGTGGTCACTAAATGAAGGGCTTCTGGACTGAATGAGTCTATCTATTCCCTCAATTGGATGGGTAGCAGGGACAGTGTCTCCTGTGATCTCAAGAATAGGAGGGAATGTTGACCAGGGAACACCACTGCGGCCGTTCAGAGGAGCAGGAACCAGAGCCCGGGCTGAGTCCCAAAAAAGCCAGATCCGGACCGTGGCTCCGAAACGGTTGGAAGTGGAAGATGGAGGAGCCAGAGGAGCCGGCAGATGGTGGGCAGTCGCTACCTCCAGTTTACATCTACAGTCCGGAGTATGTCAGCTTGTGTGACTCCCTGGCCAAGGTCCCCAAACGGGTAAGAGAAGTCAGACTGAAAGACCACCGTGGGTTTGGGGAGCAGAGGATAGGGGTCTGGACGAGAGGGCATTAGGAAGCAAAGGATACCGAACTGGGGAATATCTTTATAGAGATTTTGTGTCGGGTACCTAAAGCTATAAAGAGGAAGTGATCCTGTATGGTTTCTAAGAGTGCAGCGTGTCTCTGCGGGGCATCCAACAGTCACTGGTGGGGGGTGGGGTGAGGGTCGGGGGGAGGGGACTGAGGGGATGGAGTTTGAATTACAATGGGATTCCCTTAAGTCTTGGAAAAGAAGCTGATGGAGAAAAGTGTTCTATCACTTGCATAAGGCCCGACAGCTTCTGTCTTGGCGATTTGATACTTTGTATCTGTATTGTCTACAGTGTATCATAACTGTATTGTCTAAAGTGTATCGTAACTGTTAAGTAACAGAAAGAAAGAGAGCCAAACAGAAAGAAAGAGAGTTGATGGGATTTCACCGAATTAAATTTTTAAGAGACTGTTTTATGCCTTTTTTTATGCTGATATTTTTAGGCCAGTATGGTACATTCTCTGATTGAAGCATATGCACTGCATAAGCAAATGAGGTAAGTTGTCCTTCTTGAACATCCTCATCCCTGAAGCTATGTGATCATACCCTTAATGCCCTGCTTCACGATGGAGGTAACTAGGTAGAAAATGGTGCTTTTTAAAAGTTTTGTGTGTGTGTGTGAGAGAGAGAGCGCGCGCGCGCGCGCGCGAGAGAGAGAGAGAGAGAGAGAGAGAGAGAGAGAGAGAGAGAGAGAATATGTGTGTGTAATCCCCCTATAACCTTGGAAAAGTTCATGAAGAGTTAAGAAATTTTGAAAAAAAATGCTTGGAAGTAGTTAAGACTCATTAGAAATAGGACTTTATTGCTGGGTGTGATAGGTGCTTTGTGGAGTTTGAGATGAGTACATTTGGCTACTAAAACATGTCTAACAGAAAAAGGAACCAACTGGATGTGGCCACACAGGTTTGTAATTCCAATGGTTCAGGATGCTGAAACAGGAGGTTTGCAAGCTGAAGGCCAGCCTGGGCAACTTAAAGAGACTCTGTCTCAAGATTTAAAAGAAAAAAGAGAAGAAAGGATTGAAGATATAATTCAGAGATAGAGTGCCCCTAGGTTCAATCCCTACTACTGAGAGAGGGGGCCAGTGGGAGAGGAGAAAAGATAAAGAAAAATGTGTTCAGCTGGAAGGTGTTCTGATTTTGTTTTGTCTTGGTTTTGGTTTTTAGTTTATTTGTTTTGTTTTTCCCTAAGCCAAATCTGAGGATGTGGGTTCAACTTATAACTTTTAGGCATGCCACTGCCACCATCAAACTTTAATGGGTGAACTTGGAGACAAAGTGAACACACAGCCAGAACTGCTGAGACCAGGCCAGACCTCAGAAGAGAGCTAAAAGCTTCTTTGGAAAAAAAAAAAAAAGCTTGATGCTTATTGCCAGTTCTATATTTGATGTCATTGCAAGTGTAACTATTATGGACTTGCCACATGTAGGATTATTTATGACATTTTATGGCCAAATCGGTATCTATATCCAGTGTGCTGTACTTCATCTATCTCCCAGAAGGTAGTGTGGTAGGATTTTAGTTTTAATCATTTCTCTTTTGAGGGGAAGGGTACTGGAGATTGAACCCAGGGATGCTTTACTACTGAACCACATTTCCAAACCTTTTTAATTTTTTTTTTTTTTTATTTCAAGATAGGTTTCACTAAGTTGCTTAGGGCCTTGCTAAGTTGCTGAGGCTGGCCTCAAACTTTTGATCCTCTTGCCTCAGTCTCCCAAGTCATTTGAATTACAGATATACACCACCATGCCTGCAAAAAAATAATTTCTTGCATACCTGTTTTGGGAATGTTTTTCAACCATCATTTAGTACATGTTTGGTAAATAGTTATAGCCTTTTCATTAAAATTATTTAACATTTCAAAAATGATTTTATTACAAGCAACATAGCAAAGCAAAGTTATCTAATTTCCTTTTAACTTGTGAGGCTTCCAGTAAGTAGTTTTATACTTTAATATTTAACAAAATAAATTGGAGGGGTACTATAAGAGGGAACTATTAGGGATGAAAAACGTGGTCAAAGAAATTACAAAATAATTTATTTTAATGGGCAAATTTTTATCTCTGATGGTATAGACATATTTTCTTGAAGAACAAGTAACAACCCTTGGATTTTGGTAATATATTTAATTTTTAAGGCAAGACCATAGGATTTCTCTTGGCCATACGTGATTATACTAGTAGCTTGACTAGTACTAGTCATATGAATTCATGATGAGCTCATGGCCCTGCTCCCATTCAGCAAACATAAAAAGCCATGACTGCTTCTCTCTGATTCAGGTCACTACTCCTTCAACTTGAATGTTCACATGAGTCACCTTGTTAAGATATATCATCTTGTTAAAATACAAATTCTGATTCACTAGGTCTGGGGTGAGACTGAAGTTCTGCATTCCTCATAAGCTCCCAGGGGCTGTTGATATTGGTGGTTCACAGAGCACCCTTTTGGTGGGAAGGGCTAGAGAATTTAGCAGCAAGTAGGGTCATGAAGAGGAAATGGGAAATGGACAGCTAGTGGTTACAGGTAAATCCCATTGCCAGACTAGCTCCCATTATTCTCCCATTCACTCCTGTTTGTCACTTCCTGCAAGGAGGAGGTTGAGAGGTTTTGCATGAAGCCCAGTTCTAACTATTTTGTCCCTTCCCATATTTTCTCTCAGAAGCAGATATGAGAGACCTAGTATAGAAAAAAATATATATATTTTGAGTTCCCTATTCTTTATCCCATAATATTGATGAGTTATCCAAAAGAACTTTTGCATGTTATTTCATCTCCACATAAACCCTGTAAGGCTCCCTTTTTCAGAAATGAGGCAACTGAGGTGTGGAACAGAAAGTTACCCAAGGATATAGAGCTAGTAAATACAGAGTTAGAACATGAACCCAGTTCTCAGAGTCCAAATTCGAAATGCATGATGATGTAGTTGCATATTAAAATAAATATATAGGGCTGGTGGTATAGCTCAATGGTAGAGCATGTGGTTAGTATATGCAGGACCATGAGTTCCATACCCAGCACCAAAACCAATATAAATAAATAAATCTCTGACTGAGGGGACTATATAGCCCAATTAGCAACTGATTCAAATGAAAATATCTCTGCCAACTGGTTTGCATGAAAGTTGTAACTCACAGAGTAAAGTTTGATCCCTGATTATTTGCTTAACTTAAATATTTTTTTTTATTTAAATAACTTATTTCCTTATTTTTTCCTACATATAAACTCAAGGGGGAAAGATCTGTCCTCTCGCCCCTTATTGATGGAGCCATCACTATAGAGGTGAGGAAGTGAAGACTGTATAGTGCAGTGGAGGAGCAGAATATATTTATTACTTCAGCCCACTGGAAATAGAACCTGGGAGTTGTACTTTTACTCAGACTGCTGGCTCCTGTTTCCAGCTTTTGGCATAACTCTGGGTCTGACTCATTCACCTCTCTTTGTTCTATCTGTTATTATTAGGATAGTGAAACCCAAAGTGGCCTCCATGGAGGAGATGGCTACATTCCACACCGATGCCTATCTGCAGCATCTCCAAAAAGTGAGCCAAGAAGGAGATGAGGATCATCCGGACTCCATAGAATATGGGCTAGGTAAAGTCCCTATCATGCAATGATGGGAGATTTACAGCTTCCATCTGTAGATTGTATTACCTAATTTTTAATTTACTTAATGGTTCTAATACTTTTTAATTAAGAAATAATGTAACTGCCCTTTTTTTCCAATTCTGGGTATTAAACTCAGGGCCTTGAACATGCTAGGCAAGTGATCTGCCACTGAGCTACACACCCAACCCCAGCTGTCTATTTTATTCTTTTGGTTTCGCCCTCATAAAACTCACTAACCATGCAAACCATACAAGTTGAACACAAACCTGTAAGTAATCCCAGTGGCTCAGGAGGCTGAGGCAGGAGGATCACAAGTTGAAAGCCAGCCTCAGCAAAAGCAAGGCGCTAAGCAACTCAGTGAGACCCTGTCTCTAAATAAAATACAAAATAGGACTGGTGATGTTGCTCAGTGGTTACATGCCCCTGAGTTCAATCCTCAGTTACCAAAACAAACAAACTGAATGATGGGTCACTTGGAGGAGAAATCTTTCAGTTGCTGTGGCCCTACTGGCAGCACTCAGATCTTAGTTTGGCTGTATATATACCAATTTAGTTGCCCCATAACCTTATATTTTGAGTACAGACTGAAGTTCTGGTTAAGTTTTCCACTCTAACCCTCATTTTTAAAACTGTAAGCAGTCAATGGAATAATCTAAAGAAAACAGCTTGGGTTAGTAAGATACTGAATGCATGAACAAAAGACCTGAGTCCTAGGCCTGATTCTGTGTAAACACTGGCAAAGTATATCATCTCTCAGATCTTGGTTTCACCATCTTTAAGATGAAGGTTTATCCTTTCTAGCTCTCACATCTTAAGCTCTTTTCTTCCCAATACTAGAAATGTTGCTATCTGAGTTGGAGCTAGTGTTAGCACAATAGTTTTTTAGAAGACTCTTGTTATCACACCTCAACCTATTCCCCCTCTTCCTCCAGTTCATCTTTAATTAATTCTTCTGATATTTGCTCTCAGGTTATGACTGTCCAGCCACTGAAGGGATATTTGACTATGCAGCAGCTGTAGGAGGGGCTACAATGACAGCTGCCCAGTGCCTGATTGATGGGATGTGCAAAGTAGCCATTAACTGGTCTGGTGGATGGCATCATGCAAAGAAGTAAGGAAATTACCTTTCTGCTCTCTCACCCTTTCTTTGAGTCAATTTCTCAGTTATGTAAACTCTTCTGATTATCATATTGATGTTTACTGAGAAATGTGTATATCTAGTACTTTATAAGGAACTCTGAACAGATGCAAGTAAAATAGAAGATGACCTAATGTAATGGAAAGTACACTATCAAAAGTCAGGTCACCTGGACCCTACACCTAGTTTTTTCTGCTACTTTGGCTGACTAAGTGGGACAAATTAACCTCTTCTAGGCCTCAGTTTCTTCCTCAATAAAACAGGCAGGGCAAAGGATATAATTGGACAGTCTCTAAATTCCTCTTCAGCTTTCTAGAAATTCCCTGTGTCAACTGTCTTATTCTCTAGAAAAAAATTAACAAAATTAGAATAATCACAGAACACCAGCAATTATGGTACCAATGGATAATATGTATGAGCTGAAGAGACTTAGCAGGGGAAAATTAATCATGGAGGTCTTGGGAAAGTTGCATTTTAGAACTAATTCTTTATAGGCATGGCAAATAGATTTTTGAATAGGTAAAGAATTGATGAGAACAGATTTAGAACAAAGAGCTGAAGAACTTAGAAGGAGGCTTATGGTTGCCAACTCTAAAGTAAGAGTCAATGTACAGTTAGATGTTTCTCTAAGGAGAAAAGGCTTGTGAAATGACTCTTCTTAGGTGCTCCTTGGGGTTAGAGGAAAAATCTTTTTGGAGTTTTCTGTTAACAATTCAGATAGTGATACTGTGTCTGATGAGAACTGCTGGGCCTTCAGCATTTGGTGTCTTGTTTGCTTTCTCAGTAGTACTTAGTACACATTGGGGGAGAAGGACTTTTAAAACTGAATGTATCAATCTGCTGAGTAAAAGGAAGCAGCTGTGGTAGTGACTGCCAATGTGTCATTCACAAATCAATTGTTCATGCAACCAACCATGGCCTTGTTACTCTTAGGTACAATGGAGTCAAAAGCAAATAGCATTTGTTTTTTCAGAAGAAAACATGGCACAATTTTAGCATATACAGGTTAAGATAGTAATATGCTATTATTTTGATCAAATTGACAGATTTCCTGACAAAGGAAGACCTTGAAAAAGTTCAGTACTAGAATGTACTACTGAGGCAAAAGGGAGGACCCATGCTTAATAATACATTTTACATGGTCTTAAAAAACAAAGAAAAACAGCCTCCAATTTGTTAGCTTTAGTTTTATTTTTTTCAAGTTCAAAATAAAGATGATGATCCCTAGGAGAAAAAAATGACTCTCTTCTCCTTCATGTTGCACAGTGAAAGGAGAAACCCAAGTTTCTCTGAATTAAGGACTTTAATGTCCTCTTGGGCTTAGTGAATGGGGAATAAGAGTGGTGTGGTATCATAGAAAACACATGCACCTCAAAGTCAGATCTAGTTTCTCATATATTTAAATACATGACAGAAGGCCTGCTAGGACCTGGGTCAGTGTGCAGCGGAGTCTCAGACACCTGCCACTTCTTACTACTGTTTTGCTGCCAAACGACACACACTTATCTTGAGCCACTCATGTCTGTCTGAGCTGTGTGCACGTTTGAGCATACCCACATATCATTATCTTAACTGTTTCAGGCATCTTCTGACCGGTCCTTTCAGCTGATCCTGCCTGGAAACATGCCTGCAATGAATGTAAATTACTGAGTTTCTAGGGATTGCCTCAGTTCAGGTCTGAATTCCAGGGTGTTCTTGACACCTCTAGAACATCTCTGAAGATGGACTACAGGCCAACAAGCTTACATTTAACCAGCACTTCCCTATTATAATCACAATATTTGTTTAAACCTCTTCGTCCTCAAATACAGGTACAAATTCGTATATGCCATTTATTCATTGAATAAGCATTGATTAAAATCTTACTATATTTTAAGCATATGTTTATCATTGCTAATAAGCAAATATGTAGAAACTGAAGCAACGTATATTTTTCCCCTACCAAGTTTGAAAAAAACTTTGTAACAAATATATCCAGGTGCTAGTAGGATTATAAGGAAAGTGGCCCAACCCTTTGGGAAACTTTGGAAGTGTTAAGTTTAGAAAAAAATGTTTTTAACTGTTGACCTAGTAACAAGATTCTTGGCAATATGTTCTAAGGAAATCAACAATCCTGCCCTCAAGAAATTCATATCTTAGGGATAAGACAGCAAATGATTTCATTTGAAAATTAAATAAGTGATTTTCAAAGAAAATTCTGTAAAAGGAAAGTAATAAAGAATGAATGCTAGTAGATATTAAACATACACAACTAGAATAACGAAAACACTGATACCACTAATATTAGATTAGACAGGTAATATGTAAGAGTTTATTATAAAAGATGAATTGCAAGTGAATGAGAATAGAAATGATTGTTCATAAATAATATTGTGACAGCTTGAAGAATTTATACCCTCATCCCCATAATAAACTAACATAAGTGGCAGTTGGATTGAAGAGTTAAATATAAAAAAGCTGATTATAAAAACTGAAATGAATGAATATTTATCAAGCTTCTAACAGGGACTCGTTTTCTAAGCTTAGGAAGTAATGGAGAATATTCTCAAAGGAAAAGATCCAAGCTGACTGTATAAAATTTTAAAACCAGTATTACTTTTTAAAGTTTTTGGACCATTTTAAAAATAAAATCTAAACAGACTGAAAAAGCCTCTGTGACATAAATATGACAAAGCATGGGGTTTATATTATCTAGGGCCTTCAACACAGTATAATGTATAAGAAAAAATATGAACAAAAAATATGTATAGATAATTTACAGAAAAGTTTAAGTACAACTGGGAAAATATTCATCACTACTAATTAAAGAAATGCAAATTAGAACAACTAGTTAAGCCTCTTTTTTAGTCTGAATTTAACAGAAATGAAAAAGATGGTACTCAGTCTACTGGTCAATTATGGTTTGATCAACTTCTTAAGAAAGCATTTTGGCAGTCAACATGTATTAATGTCCTTTGATCTAGTAATCCTACTTCTGGGAATATTCCTAAAGATAATAATTCAAAATATGGAAAAATATTTTCATATAGGATAACCTAAAAAAATTTAAATTGAAATAACATTGAGGCTGTGGTTATAGCTCAGTGATAGAGTGCTTGCATAGCATATGTGAGGAACTGGGTTCAATTCTCAGCACCCCATATAAATGAATAAAATAAAGGTCCATCAACAACTAAAATATTTTTTTAAAAAATGAAATAACATTAATGTTTAGCAATAAGCAAATGGTGAATCTAATCCATGGAATATTGTGCTATCATTTTTGTTTTGTTTTTATGTGCATGTGTATTTGGGTACTGGGAATTGAACCTAAGGCCCCATGTATGCTAAGTACACACTACCACTGAGGTACACCCCCAACCCTGTACTATTACTTTTAATGATTATTAAGATTATAAGGTATTTCAGAGAAATATTTGATGTGTGTTAATAAAAAACTAGGTCTTAAAATTGTATGTACATTGAAATTATCACTTTGTAAAACACACACGTAAGAGAAAAAAGCACTGGGAATGATGATGATAATCTTATGATGGCAAGATTTTTCATGATTTAAAAAATTTTTTTCTCTATTTTCAAAATTTATGCAATGCTATTTTATTACTTTTACAGCTAAAAATTTTAGCAAAATAAAGAGGCAAAAATAGTTATAGCAAATACAACAAAAGGTTTAAAAATCTTTTCTAATTAGTTTAGCATGAATATTTAGATTAAATGATCAAAAGACATGGACAATTCACAGAAGCTGAGACAAATAATGGGTAGGAAAAATATTTTGCATTATTAATGCTTTGAGAAATTAAAACAATATTCTTTTCTACCAAATTTGAGATGACTCTTGGCAATCTAGTCTAAGATAAACCAATCCAAAATATGGTAAATGTGTACCTGAAGATGGTACTGTCTCTCTTACTTATAATAGCCAATAAAAGGGTGATGGAAGGGAGATAAACATTCAACAATAGTGGAAAGGTTAGATAATATGCTGTAACATATTCACTCGATGGGATATTTTATAGCCATTAAAATAATGGTTAGGGTAACTACTACATAAGTAGAAAAAATGCCCATCTTATAATATTGCTTTTGGTTTTAAAGGGCAAGTGGCTATATCATACATTCACTCAGACTCTAGTAAAAATATAGCCATATGAAAAATTTTAGAAGGAAATACAACAAAAGAATAACAGTGGCTTTGTGAAGATGGTGATAATGGAGATTATAAAATATGAAATATGTTTTGTATATGTACACATATACCCTGTATTTTTCCATTTCCTATATTTTCTCCAATGTGATTATATTACTTTTATGAATAAAACTTTTATGATACAAACTCTTATGTCAATACAGGAAACAGTGACAACACAATGTTGTGAGCATATACTAGCATTCACGTACATGGTAGTGTGTATAAAAGAAGGAGTAAGCCTTTGTTTTCCTATTGGTGGGGATGGAGAAATCTAAGCAAAGGAAATGATGGCATCATCACAGCAAGAGTAAAGGATATTTGGAGAACCTCAAGTAGTGAAATGTAGCCAGAATGTGAGGGCAAATAAAATAAGACCAGATTACAAAGGTTTTGTAAGCCAATACTAAAGATTTGGACATTTTTTTTAGGGATTGGTGGGGATTCACTATCTTTAGGAAGGGATTCAATGTGCTAATTACATTAGAGGGAAGTGAGAATCCCGCTATATGTCAGATGCTAAGGAAACAAAGAGGTGTATATAAGGTTATTATTTGAGGGCAGCTGGTACCAGATGTCACTTGTTGAATCCATTTAAAAATTGGACCAGCATTTTAAAGTAAATAGTAAAAGTGGCAGGGTTTGTTTGGGATGCTAGCTTGAATAACTAAAAACTATAAACTATGTTCTTTAATCTCATTTCATAAAATTGAGTACTATGTACAACTATGTGCTAATCATTACAACAGACAAAGAGTGTATCAAAGATTGATATTTTTTGTTT